AGATGGAAGAGAACTGCACGTCAGCTCGTCTCACAGCTGCTATCCAGGCTAGACGCCTTCGTTTGGTAACATCAATACACGAGCTGCTGAATGAAAAGATAAACCATTTTCAACCTTATTCTCTTGCCGGTCGTGTGATCGAACATTGCAGCCGACCACACAGCAAATACGAACCATGGCTGGTGTGTGTGACTTCGCTCCCTTTTCACTTGCGCTAGACCCCCAAAATGGCAGATCGGGCCAAAATCCTTTCCACGCCCACCCCCCGTGACATCACGCTCCAAAGCCCTATATCTGGGACTCTCCACTATTTGACCTTAGAACTGAAGAAGCTTCTCGGATGAGAGGTGAAACGTCTTCAAGTAACTTAAAGAAGTCCAGACGCTTTTCTTTGCAAGCTCCTTTGACTACGATGACCTGGATGACTGAGAACCTTCACAGACACACCCTTGCAATGTAACCTCATTCTGTAGACGTAAGAATGATGGTGACAGTAAAGCCGATCATTTCCACACTTGTATTCATTCTCGATGTGCCAAGCTGTGCAGTGTATTCTCTTTGCTTTTAGAGGGACTTTAAAATTTAGTTCAGAGGCATCGATTGCAACTTTCTGCCTCGGGAACCTCTCCCCAAAAATGTAAACTAACCCTTGACTCTCACATGTCTCGAGCACATATTGTTGAGTTATTTTTGAAGCAGTATTCAGTCTCTCAAAACATGCCGTCATGTTATCCATGACAAAAGAAGCTGCTGAGAAGTGCCAGGACCGCCCATTCATTTATTTTGAATAGGAGGTTATGGAGGCATTGTTGCACTGAATTGTTCTGTCAACAGTGCGACGCTGAGACAATGGCTTCTGTGCAGTGGATTGGGATCTGGAAAACTTGTAGTAGGGTTGAACACTTTTTACTGATCATTATGTTTGAAGAGTTGCTGCAATGTAGAAGGCCCAAGTTCCTGCCTAAGTCCACTGCCATCAGGGAATGCTGTTTCTATGTGTGACAAGCTTCTTCTGCAACATTGTTTAGTTGGATAGTAAACAACAGAGTACATTATTGTGGAAAAGGTCTTGCGTCACCCCTCAGTTCATTATATTTTGCCTCTGAGGAGCCAGAATTTGTTGTAACTTTTCCATTGGTCCTGAGCAATAGTTCTCCAGGTGTTCTGAAGGTCTTTCAAAGGTTTGCTTTGGACATTGGCTGGTTTTTCACTCATTTTCAGTCCATTGTTGTACTTGACCATTTTCAGATGAATGTTTTATTTGTTAATTCATTTAACAGTGACATATCAATCACTTGAGCATCAACTCAAGGGACACCAGTGTTGTGTCCAGAAGACAAATTAGCAAAGAACCAACTTTAAATCTTTATACCTGTATACTCCAGATACTTGCAGCCTGTCATAAAAACACATAATTTGTTCCCATTTCTTTAGTTAAATCTACAAAAAATGATGTTAAAGATAATGATGCCAGGAAAAAATAGTATATGTGTACAAACAAGGTGAATCCCAAAGAGCTATTAGCGGGATAATTGGCATATTTCACCACAATGTGCACTGTGTCCTTCAGATTTGAGGTACCTGGACAAGCAGAAGACAAAGAAAGTATGACTACTGAGAAAACCCCAAAACAAAATACAAAACAATCTAAATCTAAATACATCCTTAAGAAACAGGAAGGAATTCGGCAAAACTCAAAATGCATCTGGCCCTTCAGTTGATCATCTACTGTTTACTGAAGCCTCATCATAAAGGGTCCTGGTGGAACGGTGGCTGTCAAGAAACCAAACTTAAGGAAGTAAAAGAATGAAAAGTTACACAAGAAATGTACTGAACAGATAAATCCAAATTTTTTTTAATTCAAATCATCATTCAATGTATGGAGAATGTCAGAAGAGAGGTACAAAAGTAAGAGCCATCAGCCATCTGTAAAACACAGCACAGACTCTGTTATTGTTTGTGGCTGCACTTCAGGCAGTTGTGTTAGAGATCTTGTCAAAATGGATGGAATTATAAATTCAGAAAGGTACCATCAGAGTTTGATCCCACATAAAGCATCATATGAAAGATGTCTGACTGGCAACCTGACTGATCATCTTGACTGAGAACAACATATAAGGTGGCAAACATCCAAAGAAGACCTTAGAAAGTCCTTCAAATAGCCTGGAGAACCATTTCTGAAGACTAAGAACATTTCAAAATAAAGGTGGTCAATAAATTGCAACCTCATTAGTATCTTCAGGCTTTATTTTCGCCATATATGCTGTTTATTCACTTATAAGTTGTTCACTTATAAGTTGCAACAATAAGTTGTTGCATTTATTTGCCATTTTCCAGGCAAAAATAATGAAAAGAGGGATTGCTTAAGATTTTTGCACAGCACAGTACATTCACATAAATGCAGGACTCAAGTTTTCCTAGCAGAACTTTGCATAGTAACAAGGGGATCAGTGACATTCACGTCACCTGTCAGCAGTTTTACTGTTGTGGCTGATCAGTCTATTTAGAATAACTCATGTTTCAACGCTCTCGCCATAAAGTTTTGATTCCTCAAATCCTGCGCGAGCTTCAGCATCAGCCCTAATGCCATAATCCATATACATGATTCATCTTTGATATGTCATTTTCCCGGCAGTAATCCCAAACTGTTTATTAAAGTGTCTATACTGTTTTTAACTCACTATATTCAACATTTTCCTTATAAACGGCTCATTACATTTGGTAGACATTGTACCAGTTGTTTGTCTTAATTTACATCCATCAGTGTACAATGTACAGAACATTCTACAATATTCAATAAAAAGGTTATCAAGGGTCAATGTGTCTTTGGCTAGCGGGCACCTTTGACAAAGGCATGATGTTCATCTGCAATAGAAATCAGGGATTTTTGTGTTTATTCCCTGTCTTTAATCATAGATTTTCATGATTAATTACCCGCCAAGAATACAAGTCATTCATCAAAACTGATATTAACCATGCAGTTCATCAGCATCGATGTCCAATAACTTGCATGACCTACAGTGCACTGCACAATCTCCTCAGATCTCCTTCTAACGCATGTTTCTTCTTTTATCCAAAGTGTTTTTACTCGCAGGACTGCAGCTGACTGGATGTTGTGCAATATACGGTTCTACACGACAAAAAGAAAGCAGCCATATGTGAGATTCATTAACTGGTGAATTTGGCATCAAAATTCGCACCAACTGAAGCCAGATTTAAACAAGGGAAAGCATTCACTCTAGCCTTCTGCTGCAGAAGAAAAAGGCCTTCTGAAACTAGGGAGGGTACTTAATGTTTAATCAGTTGTATGTGACTCATGTGTCTGGATAAGATGAGATGGTTGCATCAGTTGTGGTGTACCTCAAAATGTAGTAACACAGTCTTGTGATAAGCAGTCTCACAGGCGATACATACGTGAGTTTAACACCTGCTTTCACAGAGAAACTTGTAATGTTTCACCAGCTGTTCTGGAGGAGCCTTCAGCACAAGGGACGGAGTCTTGATCAATCTCGATTCACGTGTGCACACCCATACACTCACAACACCACCTTTTATCAGTGCAACACCACCGTTCCTCTTCCTTCCCATCTTTTTAGATAACTTCCATGGATCCAACTGCTCACTGCCAAAACTTAATAGATGCTGACAGATGAATGTAGGCAAAGCACGCCAATCTATATATTAAGATTCATCCGCCCGGAAAAACAAATGAGTGATATAAATAAAATTTAAAACAACATTGTAGCCAAGATAAACACCCTGTCAAATCTTTGCAGAGATAAAAAAAAAAGAATAAAAATGTAGTGTGGACAGAGGAATGATTCTCTCGAGTATGGACAGCTGCACATCTCATGTCATTTTAGCTAATACTGCCTTCTAGTGGTGCACCATCGTTCCCAGAGACTTACTGAAACCACCAACCTGCACATAAACTTTTTAGTTGTTTCTGCCTTTTTTACAATTTTGTATTTTTCATGCTACAAAACAGCAAACATGTTAAATCTATTTGACCTTTATCCATCAATACAGGCACATCGAATGCTGAGGATTCAACCTGAGCTTCCTTCGTGGCAATGGGGGCTACATTTGCTCCTAGGTGGGAATAATAAACAATAAAACTTTGTACAGTTACTTTGTTTGCAAAGAGAGGAAACTACAATGTGAATATTATTCACATCTATTTATGCCTTTCCCATCCCTTGAGGAAAAAGAGCCAGTGCTCAGAGCTTTTTGAAGTCCTGCAGAGTCCTGGCACGATCGAGAGGTGTGGAGAGTTGAAGCTTGCAAGAAACCTGTTGTGCACTGGGGGACTGGCACATCTGATTACACAGTGTGTCCTGCACAGTTTCCACCCTCTGAGGCCCTACTGACAATTCATAGAACTTCAGAGACCCTCCAACCTCCCACAGCTACTGACATGTCAGATAAGTTGAACCAATCTGGGGATACAAAGCTGCAAGAACACGGAATTTATTAAGACTTAAATTTAACCCTTGTAGTACCTTTAAAATTTTAAAAGACAGTTTAACCTCGGGACCCCGAAAGGTCCCAAGGCAACAGGTGATATAGCAATATCATAAATGAATTAATTTTTTCACATCAAATCTTTTCAACAACTTCAGACCTAACCATAGGTATACAGTTTTTCATTAGTTTTTTTTTTTAATTAATATTTGTATATTTCTATGCCCTTATTGTCATAAAGACCCCTGTTTTTTAACTGGAAAAACCTATAATCTGCAATATTTTTCAAAAAATTAGTTGCAAAATAGAATATTTGGCATGAGGTAATTGCAGTCTTGAATAGGTCAATAATTGACAACATTGATTTGGATGCATTATTATTTTTGGAGCAATGAGAGTTTAAAAAAAAAAAAGATAACTTTTGCCCTCGGGACCCCACATGATCCCGTTCACAAATGTGTTATAACAATGTCATATATAAATTTCCCCCCCCACTTTATTAACATCAAATCTTTTCAGCAACCTTAGACCTAACCATAGGTATAATGTTTTTTATTCTTTTTTATTAATATTTGTATATTTCTATACCATTATTGTCATATAGGCCCCTGTTTTTTTATTGGAAAAAAACATAATCTGCAATATTTTCCAAAAATTGGTTGCAAAACAAAATATTTGGGATGAGGTTATTACAGTAATAGGTCAGTAATTGATAACAACATTGATTTAGATGCATTATTATTTTTGGATCAATGACACTTTTTTGCAAAAACAAACTGAACTGAGCTGAACAAACTCAACAACAAACTGAACAAAGATGTAATTTACTTTTTATAACATAAAGCACAAAGTGTTTTCAAATGGATTTTGCAGACAGGGGCACCACATCTGCTGCAGTTGTTTATGACCCTTTTGCGCTGTTTGCACGATGCGCACTGCATCCGCTTTTTGGAAGGCGACTCCCACTCCTCCTCCTGCTGCTCTTCCTCCTCTTCCTGCTGCTCTTCCTCTTTCACCTGCTTCTGCTGCTCTTTGCCTTGGGCTTGTAAGACCAGGCTGAGTGCGAACGGTGTTCTAGGCAGGTAGTTTCTCTTCATCATGGTCGGGGTGATAAGGGCTCTGCCAACCTGGTCTATGTACAGACGCCGGACATGTCCCTTTCCTCTGTTCCACTCTGTGTCCACAGCAGTGAAGAGGACAAAAGCGTTGTAGCAGCTTACATCAAGCATGTGATACAGCAGACACATGGGCCACCTACGTGTCCTCCGACGGCAGGAGTAGTTGCCACAAACCTGCAAAATAAAGAGAAATGATCAGATGACATGAATAGATTTATACAACCTCCACTGTAACTATCCAAACTATCATCATCACATTTATGTTATCAGATAACTGATGGGACTCTCAGAGTTATAACAACGAGTAACAGTAAATAATTTGGCAAATAATTGATGTATAATTGTGCTTACCTGATCTAGATGATCCACAGCCCCTTTGCACTTGTTATAGTCCAGGATGATCTGGGGCTTTTTCTTGCCAGAGCTTTCGACTTGTGGCTCACGGTGCTTTGTGCTCAACAGGAGAACATTTCTTGATTTCTTTGGCACGTAGGATACCAAAGCAGCGTTGTGACTAAAAGCAAAGACAGAGGACATTAACTCTCTGTGTTGAATGTTCAGCAGCTGTGGGGGCAGCTCAGGTTTGTTAATCCTCAGAGTGCCCACCAGGGCCATCTTCCTTTTCCTCAATTCCTCTGCAAGAGGAAATGATGTAAAAAAATTGTCCATTGTTACTGTGTGGCCCTTCAGTCCGTCTGTCAAATCAAGCACCACCTGCATTCCTTGACTAACCTGCCTCTTTGCTGATTCAGACCTCCCAGTGTACAACTGCAGCCTCCAGGCATAGGCGGTCTTCACATCGCATAGGGCCCAGATCTTTAGCCCATATTTTGCAGGTTTGAGGCGCATATATTGTTTGAATGAACAGCGGCCCCTAAAAGGGACCAGCTGCTCATCCACACATATGTCCCTCCCTGGATTAAAAAATTTGGGCAGGCGGCTACTCCACTTGCTCCATAAATCCTTTATAGGACCCAATTTATTCTCCCTGCCACCTGAACGGGAAAGACGATCGTCAAATCTTAGGGCCTGATTAATTTGCTGGAATCTTTTTTGTGCCATTGTAGCAGAAAAAAAAACACGTCCTGTCACCCCATCCCACAGGCTTATTGTAGATTCATGTTGAGACCTGTACAGACCAGCCAGGATCAGCAGGCCCATGTAAGCCCGCAGCTCCTCCTCTTCTACGTCCTTCCAATCTTTTATCGACCTCTTCCCCTGCAGGTTGGTAAAATGCTGGATTAGCTGCATAAGGTCCTCCGCAAATAAAAGATCAAAAGCACTCACGGGGCTGCTGATCCTAGCAATTGCGTAAGGGGTTGGTCCTGGGGTTAAAATGGAAGAAGGAAAATATGGCAGGGTCTCCTCGTGTGTGGGACACCACAGGATTTCCCCATTTTTCGATCTCCACTGACTTTTTCGATCTTCCTTCTCCTCCTCAGACGAGCTGCAAGGCTCCTCATTACCTGGCAGAAATTCCTCCCCTTCTTCATTGCTAGTGCTATCTTTTTTGCTTTCGGAAGACTGCAAGACTGCAGCAACATCCTCGTCTGAATTCGATGTGGGCTTCATCGTGCAGAAATGACCAGTGTTGCAAAATCCTCAGTAAGGAAAATCGCTATCGGTGTCCTTTTTTCTCTCTCCAACTGCATTTACAAGAACAATGGAGATCGACAGACCACGGACTTTCGCGCATTGCATTGTGGGTACGAGTAGCAACAAAAGTTGAAGTTTTAATCCCTACTTGCATTTTATTTGCCCTCAAAACAGTTATGTACAAAACGAAGGAGAACACGGCAAAGACAAAGACAGACTTGACAAAAAGGCAAAAAAAAAAGTATGAGGAAAAAAATCAAAGGAGTGAAAGGGTTAGACCTGTGGACTGCCATAATGAATTAATTAAATACACCATTAAATAATTAATTAAATGTGGAAATAATTAATTAAAATCGGAAATAATCAATTACATAAATATTTACGACACATGTAATTAATTAATCATTGACATATTTAATTAATTATTGACACATTATTTATTTATTTATTCCACATTTTAATTAATTATTGCCACATTTAAATAATTATATAATTAATTCATTTTGGCACAGTTGACTCCTATGAAACGCCAGGACTGCCATAATGAATTAATTAAATACATCATTAAATAATTAATTAAATGTGGCAATGATTAGTTAAAATCGGAAATAATCAATTACATAAATATTTACGACACATGTAATTAATTAATCATTGACATATTTAATTAATTATTGACACATTATTTATTTATTTATTCCACATTTTAATTAATTATTGCCACATTTAAATAATTATATAATTAATTCATTTTGGCACAGTTGACTCCTATGAAACGCCAGGACTGCCATAATGAATTAATTAAATACATCATTAAATAATTAATTAAATGTGGCAATAATTAATTAAAATCGGAAATAATCAATTACATAAATATTTACGACACATGTAATTAATTAATCATTGACATATTTAATTAATTATTGACACATTATTTATTTATTTATTCCACATTTTAATTAATTATTGCCACATTTAAATAATTATATAATTAATTCATTTTGGCACAGTTGACTCCTATGAAACGCCAGGACTGCCATAATGAATTAATTAAATACATCATTAAATAATTAATTAAATGTGGCAATGATTAGTTAAAATCGGAAATAATTAATTACATAAATATTTACGACACATGTAATTAATTAATTAATTATTGCACATTGGAGTTTTGCCTACATCCGGTGATGAGAGTGCTCATTTCATCCTAAACCTATTTTTCATGCCATTAGGTATTCAAGGGAAAAGCATTATAACATGTCAGGATCACAGTATATTTGAAATATATGATTATAATAGAACTCAATGGGAACAAAAAAGGTACGAGAGCAAACAGTGTTGGCATATATGCCAATATCCTTTTCTATACACCAGTCTTTCTCAAACTGTGGTACACGTACCACTTGTGGTGCTTGGGCTCTTCTGGTGGGAAAGGCATTAATACTCCAATTTCTTTCTTAAGATTAAATGATATACCATTGTGGAGGTATGCAAAGGCGACACGAGTCACACTGATGATAAAAACACAGCCCTTTTCCACGGTGCCCTGATCCTAGCCTCCATCGATGAGGCCCCTGGGAGAATCAGTGGGGGCGTGGGAGATGCTGCTGGTGAGTCGGGAACTATTGTCTGAATGCTGAAGCTCCTGGTAGTCAGGAGAATTCAATCTGCTTTTTCTGCGGGTGAGTGGTAACCCTTTGCGGCCAGCAGCAGGGAGTTGGTGAGACCAGCTCCCTGCTGCTGTCGGAGAAAGACGTGAGAAATCCGCTCTCATCTGTTCCTAACAAGGAGTGTGCTCTCCATGAGCTCGAGAGCGGTACCATCACCCAGGCCGTAAAGGGAGTAGCACCGCAGCAGCAGCGCCTTGAGAGCGGTGTATTTTCCATGTAATCGCATGCTAAACAGACAGAACTTCAGTCAGGAGAAGAACTGCAATATAAGGTTAGTCATTAATATACTGCTGCATGGGCTGGGTTGTAGTTACATCGTAAGGTTTTAAAAACTGAGCTTTAAAATGAATAGTGATGATAAAAACCGTGAGAGGCCGACAGTGATCATTGAATTATTTAGGGGCTTGTTCAGATTAAATAGAACAAGATACAAAGTGTTACAACATGTTAAAAACACAACAGCTTTAATAAATGCAGAGTAGTTTGGACCCGGAAGCAGGTTTCAATCAGGTCATTAGTTAAAGATTTGATATCCCACCTGCTGTGAATGTTTTAATGTAGTACAGTTGTTATTATTATTATCACTTGTCACATCCTGTTTATGACAGTTAAAATAAATAGCATTTATATAAGAAATAAAATTGTCTGTGTAAACTGTATGTGGCCTATACTACTGTACTTTAATGTTGGTCATAAGGGTGGTACTTCAAGAGCCATTTATTTTATGAGGTGGTACTCATTGTGAAAAGTTTGAGAACCACTGCTACACACCACACTATAGAGGGGATCATTAAATTTTAAAAATAATCCTAAAAAACACACCCTGGCCAAGTTTCATGCAACTAGTGATGCAAATGACTGATATATTGATAATCAAAAAATGAGCAAAATGAACATTTAGGGTAACAGACACCTGGACAATTAAAACGATAGTCTTTTTGAGGGGAGGGGGTGCATTTTAACATGCTTTCACACGTTAAATACAAAACACTAAGTGTCCTTGGTCTTCAGAAATGTCATAGTGTACACAGGTTTTTAACAGTCACAGCCAAAAAACAAAAAAGACACCCATTCCTCAAATTAACCGACATCAATGAAAAAATCCTTTTTAAGTCATACGATGGAACTGACTTTCCATTTCCAAAATTCGGGATTAGCAAATCCGAGTGTCCAAATTCCTCCAAATGAAGCCCATTTATGGACATGCAGAGACGGATCAGTCATTCTTCTCTCTCTTCTCTCTGCGGGCCTTTCTCTTCAGCTGAAGGGTCTTCAGCTCAGTCATAGTGGAAAAGGTCCTGTACACCCACACCATCTGTCAAAGTATATTGTAGAGGGAGAGTTTGATTTTTTTTTTTCTTTAAAAAAAAAAAAATCATATATGCCGAGAACAAGTGCCAAACATACCACGATGATGACAGCATTAAGAAGAAGAGGAATCGAGAAAACCAAAGATATGAACATGCCCTTGGAATCAAAGTACTGGAAGTTTGAAAAGGACCTGCAAGAAACAGTGAAGCTTAAGAACATTTTCTTGGCTTTGACATATCGCCTGTAATATTTAGCGCAACAGTAGTAAAAGAAAATATGGGTGATCAATGGTGTTACCTCCAGTTTCTGGCAGCCAGCTCATTTAGATATTCAGCACTATAAACCAGGCCAACTGTAAAGAGAGGGGATATCAGTCACAGGTTACACATGTAAATGGTAAATAAATGGTAAATGGCCTGTATTTATATAGCACTTTTACTAGTCCCTAAGGACCCCAAAGCGCTTTACATATCCAGTCATCCACCCATTCACACACTGGTGATGGTAAGCTACATTGTAGCCACAGCCACCCTGGGGCGCACTGACAGAGGCGAGGCTGCCGGACACTGGCGCCACCGGGCCCTCTGACCACCACCAGTAGGCAACGGGTGAAGTGTCTTGCCCAAGGACACAACGACCGAGACTGTCCAAGCCGGGTACTACATGTACTACATGTAAACATCAAGTCATTTACATTTAAAAACAGCTGAAAAAAACGTGTAAAAGGTATAGCAGATTTACTAATAATGATGAAGTTAACTGGTAGCTTTGAGATTTATCAGTATTAATTAGGCTTAAAGTTAAGAAGCATTACGCTTTTTAACTGTAACTATTTTACATCATCACTATGAGCCAGTAAATATGTTTTCTGAGATTTCAAGGTCAAAAATGAGGGGTTGGGGTTTGTTTCTGCAGTTTATCCATGAGAAAGTGTTCAAAAAATGTCATTTTTCAGACATAGTTTTGAGAGGCATTTGTAGACGGTGATAGTTAAGATAACAAACACTGGAAATGTTGGAAAGTCTGGTTCCTGATTGCATCATTGCTTGGCTGGTTTTGTGCGCAGCAGGGATTCTTACTCTGCATCAAATGGTCCCATTTTCCCTACTGTGAGGTCTTCTTCTGACTTTGGTGCTTTCACGTGTTTTAGGTTGACATGGAAAAAAATTACGCTTCTCAGAGTGTTTCAGCAACACACTGGTAGGTTTTTTGTGTGCTTAAAGCTTTACTTAACATGTTAGCACTACTGCTAATGAGTGCATTTTGTAATGAATCCAGGTCAGTCTATATAAAGAGCAGTTAACAGTTTCTAATACTATCATCATCATCATGCCACATACATCAGGGATGTCAAATTCATTTCGAATTGTGGGCCAAATACACCCCATTTTGGTTGTAAGTGGGGCAGACCAGTGAAACTCCTATTTCTGTCAGTGTAAAGACATTTGGAGATAATTTAATATAAAAGAGAAGTGCAATTTTAGTAAGGCATTTCACTTTTTCTACTTGAGAAAGAAATGCTGTTTTGGGCTTAAACTGTAATAAATAAATGTGTAAAATAACAGAAAGAGTTCTGTTAGCTCATTGTGCTGACTGTGATGTGATTATAAAGCAGATCAGCAGATTTGTACGGAGTCCCTCTGATGACATGGTGCAAAAAATAAATAAATTGTGACCACAAAATACTGTTTCGAGGGCATGAAATAGGTATAACGTGCGCACAAAATGCTAATTTGTGGGCACGAAACACTTGACCGATAACCGTGATCCTTCCCAGGCCCTTGCAGTTGGTTGACAATAAAATCTATCCCGGCGTCCAGGTCGTACTTACGTCCGTAAATCAACTGGGCTCTCAATATCCTGTTTAAATGTCTCTCCGTAATAATGGTTCGTTGCATTGCCAGGCTTTGCATTTGTAGCTCATTCGCAGCCTAAAATAAAACTCAATCATACTGTCTCTGTCCATGGTGTATAGGTTTAGCCTACTCCTATGCTTATGTCTCTACGCAGCTGTCCAGGAATTGTATCAATATGATGTGCACATGTTATCTATTTTGTTGCCACAAATGCGTAATTCGTTGCCACGTTATACCCAATTCGTGCCCACAAATTAGCATTTCGTGCGCACGTTATACCTATTTCGTGCCCTTGAAATAGTATTTCGTGGCCACAAATAAGTATTTCGAGGGCACGAAGTAGTATTTTGTGGCCACAATTGTTTTTTTTTTTTATGGGCCATGTCATCAGAGGGGCTCCGTAGATTTGAATTGAATTGAGATAGTTTAAAAAAACAGGAACTTATTGTAATTTCACTGTTTATCTGTTACTTTCATCCTACTTTATTCTATTTTATCCACACATTTGTATGGTAGATACAAAGAACCAGGCCTTTTAAGTCATTTACATCTTATTTTCAATGCTTAGAATTAAAAGCTCCCATTATTGATAATAATGTGCGGGTTAAAGTGTCTGACCTGTAGCAAAATGTTGAAAGTCATACCCTTCCCTCTTTTAGCGACCGTGTAAATGTGTGGTTTTAAATCGTGCTTGATGACATCAATAATTGAGCAGTAATTCAGGTAGTTAGGTTTATGAGTTAATGGCAGGTCAATAGTAACAATTAACAGAAAACACATGTATAAAAATCAATGTAAATATCAGCCAATGATATGAGCCGTACCACATATAGGATGGGGTCATTGCTGTCCTGTTTGACGATGCCTTTCAATGGCCTTCATGTTTCCCAGACAATACAACTGAGAACCTCTGGATGTTACAAATTGTTGTATTTACTGTAAGATAATGCTACAGATTGTCCAGGAGCCAAAGGCACAGTTCCCAATCTCATCAGGAGCATGCCCAGGCATGGTCAGGGATGCACAGAAGCACCACTCAGGCACATTATGAAGGAAGTTGCATCAACCTTTGATTTCAATTTTTAACTTTCATATTTGGTGTGATTTAGAATTCCGCTCTCAAATAGTGGATTGTTTTAGTTCCCACTTACTAGGAATAAAAATTGAGAAACGGAGAACTTGAGAGCTGGTTCCAATTTTTCCAATTCATCAGAATCATACAACACTGAGTTTATCAACTCCTTTATCATTGCTTGCAGGTGCTGGAAATGCAAACTGACTGCAAATCAGTAACATCATACAAGCACATTTGGTGTTGCCATAAAAAGGGAGCCATGGGAGAGATTTGGGAGGTGAGAAGCGGTCCAAAGACTTGCTTAATTTGACAGTAACAGCTAGCTTTAATGTCTGCATCGATTATTGCATGATTAACATGATTATTTCAAGTAGGGAGTGGAAACACCAGCAACATTCTGAGACATCTTTCTACACAACATGAGATCCACTTATCTGATCTTACGCCATACATTTCTCGGCCAAGCAGCTCATATGTTACTGACGCCAAATTATAATAAAATCAAAGGCACATTTTACTTGCCTAAGAAAGCCTAAACGGGAATGAATGTCATACAAATATTCTCTATTTTCCCATTGTTAATGTTAATTGAGAGACTGATGCTACAGCTAACAATAGGCAGTAAGCTTGTTTGGGATTTAAAATAATAAGACAGCTGGGTACATATAGATCTGGGTAAAAAAAAAAACCGATAAAGATGGACCAATAATGGCATAATGGACGCTTGTCTAAAGTTGTTTTTAATAAATTACAGAGCGTATACCAGTACAGACTTTTAACGTGATTATCAAGTTTCCTTCTTCTTTTTGAACAGTGTAGTTTGTTTTGTGACACGTACCTACGAGCAGGAAGTGGCAGATCTGAGCTCTGTAATACTTGCAGGTGAGCAAAGTCAGGAACAAGCACACAGCATGAAACACCAGCAGACCGATAAGCCAGGGCTCGGACCACTGCACCTGCATACCAAGACAGAGACACACATACACAACCGTTAATGGAGCTGCCAAACTTGAATTAAACTGAAAGAGACTCCTGTTAGCTGTAATAGCTGAAGCGTAGTTTGCTAGTCTCCGCTGGAATCGGGGAAACAAAATTGAGCTTACCGACATGAAGAAAGTCCATAACGACGTTATTCTTAAATTGCTGAATCCGTCGATGGGGATACTGCTAATATTGTCTGCTTTATTGACCGTCATCTTCTAAAAATATTAATTCTCCTGTGTGTAAACACCAGCACACTGCGGAAGTGACACGTTAAGTCGCAGCCGTTTGACGTCACAGGACGATTAGTTTCTACCAATGACTGTAGAAAACAGTCGTCGTAGTAAAATATAATAAAAACTGAATTAGAATAAGATTGCTAGGCAAAAAAAAATAAGACTGGGAAAAATAAGTTGAAACGTCATGATTTTTAGTTACCGAATTCGACATTTCGAGCTACAACCTGAAATGTTGTATTACCAAAGGAAGAAAGGTTGGGAAAAGAATCCATGGGTACATAATGACATGTGAAACATTAAAATACTCAAAATCGCATATTTTTTCGGTCTAAGATTGTTTTTCATTCATTTTAATTTTATTGATTGATTGTCTTTGTTACACTTTTTCGTTCTGCGTACTCAGCACAAATAGGGTGTCATCAGGTAAATTGGGGCATCAGGTAAAATGAGCCGTTTAAGGTTTAAGTCTCCTAGCTCTTTAATTTTTTACAGGCAATGGCCGTAAAGAATTTTCAAATTGCTGGCAGAACTGTACTTTAACAAAACAAAACAATTGATTTGATTGCTCTATAGTTGCTGTTGTGGGTGGGGAAATGCTTCACATCCAGCTTGGTGAAAAGAACTGAGGGGTGAGTGTTCTGGTTGACAAATCTTTCTTGAAAATGATACGGTTGATTTAAAAAAAGGAAAGAAAATATACATTGATTAAAAAAACGGGCTAATACTTCATTTTGTGATCGTTTCCACCAGATAGCAAGCATCTTCTTTCTTTAGCTATCTTTTTTTAAATAAAAATACATTTTTTATGGGCAGCTCAATTTACCTTAATGAATTGTGGTACATTGAGTCACCCTTTTCAGCTTAAATGAGCCTCCTTCTGCATTGAAATTTGATGGTTCCTTTTATCAAAAAAACAGTAAATATATCAATACATGTCAAATCATATACTAGATACATTTTAACATCTCCTTTCTAATTGTGCAGATCTAAAGTTTGTGGGTGCTTTAGCCTTGATGTAGTATGCATTGTGAGCAATGCACACTTAGATGCACACACACACACACAGGAAAAGATGAACTAGCCATGACCAGTTCTCCTCAACCAAGGTGCTTGGAGTGGTTGGGCAACCATGTGTGGAGGTCTGTGCAGGTGAGAAAGGTGAAACTACCACTTGCTTTCTTAACAGCCTTCAACGCGGAAGGTGTTTTCAGTTAAAACATGATTATCTTCAAAGGGAAACGACTACGATGTGAGTGGCTCCAACATTGCCCCGAGAATGTTACTGTTCAGGTCTTAGTTAATAGCAGGATAAATGCTGATCTCTTCTTGGAATGGGGTCAGTTGTTTGTTCAGTCATTACCTCAGGATGACGCCAGACCCATCTTGCTACTAATCTGACAGGCAGCACAAAAGCTATTAAAGTCTGAGTTTTTCTCAGTTTTCTGCCCAGCATGCAGAAAGGCTGCCACTGTTGAAAATGCACAGGCAGGGTTCAGAGGGACAGGAATGTTCCCCTTAAACAAACACATCCTCCAAGAAAGTGCTCTTGCTCCCAGTAAAACAACCGAGAGACCCCTTCCACTTACTTCCCCTTCCCCTTTCAGCAAACCCCCAGACATCACAAGCACCACCAGGCAAAACTCAGACAACACTAGCCACTGCCCAGCCGACCCTAGAATCCATCAGCCCCATTCATCACCCTGCAGTGGTATCCGAGGTGCCCCTAATCTTTACATTCTTGGATGCCGAGGCGGTAGGATCTGAAGAAATAACAGTCAACTTTGAATGTGTTCCTGAGGAAGAGATGGTCTTTAACCTGTTCATACCTCAACTTGTGTTACATTCAGTGATCTGTGTTCCCTGCCAAAATGACAGGACTGTCAGGAAGAGAGCTAAGCCTCCATCATGTAGACTACATTTCCACCAAGGCACTGAAATCTAAAAAGAAAGAAAAGACCAGAAGAAGCAAAGGCACAAAGAAGAATGACATGTCCTTCAAAGCATGTAACGCAGTCTATTGAGACAAAAGTGACCCAGAGGCCACTGAGGAGTGGAGTAGCTGTGGGAAATGCAGCGCCTGAGTCCATGAGACTTGTGGAGAAGAAAACGGTATCTGGGCTGATGGTGGATTCTTCTGTAAAGTCTCTAAGAATTTGTCTTTTTAAAAATAGAACATACAGTTGTTATGAAAATGTTCTAATAATTAATTAATTCTAGTTGTTTTTTAGTAAAATGGTAAATGGCCTGTATTTGTATAGCGCTTTACTAGTCCCTAAGGACCCCAAAGCGCTTTACACATCCAGTCATCCACCCATTCACACACACATTCACACACTGGTGATGGCAAGCTACATAGTAGCCACAGCCACCCTGGGGAGCACTGACAGAGGCGAGGCTGCCGGACACTGGCGCCACCGGGCCCTCTGACCACCACCAGTAGGCAACGGGTGAAGTGTCTTGCCCAAGGACACAACGACCGAGACTGTCCAAGCCGGGGCTCGAACCAGCAAACTTCCGATTACAAGGCGAACTCCCAAACTGCCAAAGTTGTTATTCATGAATTATTAAATCAACACGTGAATGTGTTATGTTTGTTAAAATGAGTTCACTCTAATAATAGTAGTAATAATAATAAAAACGTCAATTTCTCTTCAGATGCATTCCTAGTAATGCTTTATTTTAATCAAAAGTACAAACATCATGAATAATTAATAATTTACAAATGATCAAATCTACACACATCTTTAAAAATATCTTAAAAGTCAGAATATTTTGTTCCAAGCAGAGAATTCTTCAAATCTTGGGCGTCACATTACAGTATTTACAGCAAAGTTCTATTTTTGTTTTTTAATTTATATTAGTTTATTTAATTTGTTGTTGTTTTTTTAAAATTGTATCTTATTTAGTTAGCTTTCTGTTTTTGTAAAGGCTTTTGACCGTAAAAGTCATGTAGCCGCCCACCACCCACCAAAACACCCAAAATGAAAAACCTCCTCATACTTGTGTTCTCAAATTTGCAAAAAAGATTTTAACTATTAAAACTATTACTACTAGTTTTGAAAGTAAAAAAAATATTTATTTTGTTAGTTTTCATTTTTGGTTTCAGTCTTATTTCATTTTGTGTTTGTTAAGTTTAGTTTCACAGCAGAATTTGTACACCAAAAAGCACCTAAGTTGTGCCACCCAGAAAAGGACTGGGCCGGTTCCTTTCTGTTTACTTGCTCTTCCAGTATTACTGATAATCACCTCCTTGTTGAGTCTTTCCTGCTTGCAAATCCCTTAAAGAGGTCTCTGGCTTGACTCACCTCACCTGCAGCTACGGTGAATATTCCTGTTATTGCTGCCCTGCTATAGTTTCCACATGCCCACATAATCCCTTTGAACACATGCAGACACTTGATTTAAAAACAAGTGTTTTCAGTATTTAACCTAATACTTAATAAGATTTTATGATCTTGCATATTTCTGCAAATATGACCATGCAGTAGATCTTGTAAGATCTGCAAAAGCAGGGAATTTGAAAATGTAATCTGAATTGCACAATCATTATTCACATTTTTAAAGTCTTTGGTAAGAGTCTGCGAGTTACTGGTATATATAGTATGAAAACAAAGTGGAGGAGATCGACAGAGCTCGAATCAGGTCCTGTTCCTGCTCGGGTGAAAGTCAGGGACAAAAGTAGCAGCCACCGTGATGGGAGTGGAGTATCCGAGAGCAAAGCTGTAGAGACCAAGCATCAAACATTTCCATGTGGAACGCAGCGCCTTGCCGACATTCTGAAAGATAAATTGGAAAAATGACTTAATAAATCCACCTATCATTGACCACATTTTTATGATCTATAAATCGACTAATCCACTCATTCAGAGAAGGCAAGAAAGAAAAGAAACAAGCAGCGGTAACAAATGTGATTGTTTCCACACAGGTCATAATCATTTTTACTTTCGCAGTATTCAGACGCTGCATCAGTTCTCAGAGATTCTTCAAAACGCAGGTGAAAATAACAGAAAATCGAAGTTAGGACATAATTTAAGTGTGCGTGCTTTAGAACAATGGCGCAGCAGGAAGAGTGGCACACTGTGAGCACAATCCTCTTCTGTACTCTCTGGACAGGAAAGAGATAACTGGCTGCAGAGGATGCAGGAAGTCAGAAGTTTTACTGGGGAATGCAACAGTCTGCAATTTAAATTAATCAGTAACAAAACCACAACACACTAAAATCTGAGCACCCTTTTATTTATGATTTATTTACCTGGCCTACATTAATGTTTACAAGAAAGACAGAGCTCACGTTCCATTTCCTTATAAATCACACGTGAGCACTGGTTAAAAAGCAACTTGTTCTTTCCAAAAGGAGCCACAAGCCTTTGCTGTGTTTCCTGCCTCTAGATTTCCAGCTGGGGTTTGTTTTGTCTTATGGTCTAGTGGTTTATACATTTGCCTAACAAATAAAAGGTCCCCAGTTTGTTCCTGGGAGGAGACACAAATCTCTTTAGGCCTTTTGCCATGCAGAGCTAAGAAGAAATTCAAGTTATCATCTTGAAATTTCAACTTGTTGACACAGAATTCTGAGTAAATTGAAATTTTGAGATAATAAACCCGAATATTTGACTTATGGATGGCAATTTTTTCAGTAGTGAAAAAAGCTTCCATAGAGGAAGGACATCCGGTGTACAACTCTTCCAAATCAAACATGGGGATCTACCCACTGTGGCGACCCCTTGTGAATAAGGAAGTAGCCAGAAGTATCTTTATGGGAAATAATTATGATAATGATTATGATAAACAATTCAATAATTGTAGAAAGTAATGATAAACATTAAAAAACAAATGAAGAAAGTGGGGCGCATGCTGTGAGGATGAGAGACTTAATAATTTCAGGACAATTTATAGAAGCGATCTTGGCCATTTTGGTCATTTAAATTTGAATCATCAGCTTGCAAAAGATTTATTAGCCCTTTGTTCAATAAACAGCAGAATGTCTGTGTCACGGTTCTGGGTCCGTTGGACCCAGTATTTTGAGTTTATTATGTTTTGGTGTAATTTTGCATCATGGATTGTTTTCTTGTTCTCTTGTGGTTGTGATGATTATTATTATTATTAGAGTTTCATGTTTCTGTTATCCATGTTTTAGGAATTGTGGTTTCATGTATAGTTCAGTTCCATGTGTCCTTTTCTGTCTCTCTGTGTTGAGTCCGTGTCTCTGAGTTGTGATTCATGTTTCCTGTTTTATTGTGAAAGTCTGTCTTATGTTAGTGTGTGTGCAGCTTTGTTTCCCCCGTCTCGTTAGCCCTGATCTCCCCCAGCTGTGTCTCCCTTCTGTGGCCCATTCCCCCATTACTACCCTGTGTATTTAAGCCCTGTGTTTTCCCATGCTCGGTGTCGTGTCGTACCCTCAGACCCTGCCTGTGTGTTCCTGCTTGGTTTCATGGTTTGGTTTTTGTTTCTTGTTTCATGCCAGCAATAAAAGCTGTGGTTTTAGTTACATTTCGTCTCGGAGTCCTGCATTTGGATCCACATTTCCACCTGCCCGCGCACAGAGCCCTGACAGACTGAATCATTAGTTTAAGGCTCATTGATCACATATTTTTTTAAGTGAAAAAAGATGGAGGCAGAGATTATTTTCAACTTACCCAAACCAGAACTACAAGAAAAGACAAAAGTTTGAACAGTGTAAGTTTTCTCTTGAGTTCACCACATCATTATATTTTAATGTTACTTAAAAGAAGAAATGACTCCCCATTAATAAAGAATTTGGGAATTTGCTCTTTGGAAGTTGATTCATGGACTCTTATGTTTTGAGTTTGTTTGTTTGTGCGTGTGCACATGTTATGTTCAGGTCATGAGATAAGGTTGTTGTAAAATTGTTGCTTTCCTATCACTCACGTGGTATGGTTATAAACCTCTCTGCTTAGTAAACTGACTGTAGATGTGCACAGGGTTAAATACAGACATGCACTTGAACTGAGAATGCGAACGCTGAGAAGTTTGAGTGCAGGCTGCCTTCATACAGGAAGTGGGAAACTCCTTTGAACAGCATGTCCTGAGCTCTATTGTGTTAGCCTGAACTGTTGTCCACCTCGGTGCACGTTTCGCCACACGGCTGACACATATGAAGCTATAAAAGATCTCTAGAGAGAATAATCTCTGATAACCCAGAAGTTAGTCCTATTTGCCAAAGGAAAGGCCTCTAAAATATGTGCGTCATCATATCAGCCTTTAATCTTACCTATGATAAAAAGCTTGTTGTGATTATTTACGTTGGAGCATCTTAATCTCAAGATACTTTACACAGTAATGCTGAGAACTGTTTTATTAAGAGTTGTTTAAACCTTGATCAAATAAATTAAAATAATTTGATTGCAGCTGATTGATTTCATACTGAAAGCATTTCAACTTACCCACACTGACTCTATGAAGAAGAAAAAAATTTGGAGAAAAACTGTCATTAGGCTGGATACACACAATGAATTTGCAACTTTAAACTTGGATTTGGAAAATTGCACTGTTAGAAAAAAAATGTGTAAAAATAAAAATACACAAACCTTCTTGACTTTTTTGTAGTTTTCCTTCTTCTTTTTCTTCTTCTCTTCTTTTGCCTTGGCTTTCGCCTCATCATCCACCAGTGGCTCGTACCTCTCTGGCAGGAAGGCGAAAAGTGTTTCTCTGTGGCACTTCTCGTGTTGCCTGTTGCTGTCAGCTGTTTGCTGCCCGTCGTTGGACAAAGATGGATCCAGCAGCTCTGGGTGATCAACGCAGTCCACATGCCGCTCATACTTTGCTGCACTTCTGCTGGGACTCTTGCCTGATGCTGTTGCAGGTGAATCTCTCTGAAACAGCCTGGATGGAAGAGACTTGGGCTTCATGTTTACCCGATTGTTGCAGTTCTCTGAGATGTAAGGAGGGGGGAAGAAAGGCACCAGATTCCTCAGGAGGTCAGGTTTGTTGTCAGCAGACGTTATGTGCATGAGTGGAAGTGCATTCCACTGGACCGCCTTGTGTGCTGGGATCTGGCTCAGAGCCCTTAAAGGTGCAAATCCTTCCTCCTCATTAGGCTGACCTCAATAGGTCACAGGGTTTCAGTTGGAATATTTTAATGAAGTACACTGAATAGTTTACCGCAGAGCAAAGTGCAAATCAATAAACTACCTTTTATCTGCACTTTTCTTAGTTTAGGTTTAGTTCAGAGCTAAGGGTAACAGGGTTTCCCACTCTAGTCCAGCTTGGAGCATTGCATCTCTAAGCTGTTTCTTTAGACTGTCTTAAAAATAGCTTATAGCATTTTAAAGAGAGTCATTTTTTTCTGTTTTCTCTCAGTACTGTTTATATGTGCGCAACATCCATTCATTCATACTCTTCTGCTTATCCTTGTCAGGGTTGCAGGGGCGCTGGAGCCTATCCCAGCTAACATAAGAGGCAAGAGGCAGGCTACACCCTGAACAGGTCATCAATCTAACGCAGGGCTAAAACAGACAGACAACCATTTGCAATCAAATTCACACCTATGGACAATAAGACAATTTAGACCTATGGACACATTAGATTCATCAAAATAGCTTAACCCCACTAAATGCATGTCTGTGGTAGGAAGCCAGAGTACCTAGAGAGAACCAACACAGACGTGTAGTTTGCATGCATGGGTTAGGTTAAGTGGCAGTTTTACACTGTGAAAGTGTGTGTGAAAGTGAGCATCAATAGTTATCTGTTCAGGCTGTATCCTGGCTTTTTCCTCATGGTAGCCGGGAAAAGCTCCTTCAACCCTGAACTAGAGAAACGATAGAAAATGGTTGGATGTTTTTATAAATACAAGCAATTTGACCTCATACTGTATGTTCAAAATGTACAAGGTGATGAGCCTGTATAGTTTTACAAACTTAAACTGTCAATATAAACATGAAAATTTTTTTTAGCAAAAAGTTAGAGAAATGTGTTTCAAAATCTTTCTGATTAATATGTCTGTTCAGATCCCTGTTTTAAATAGCACTGTGGTAGAGTAAGGAAAAACTAGTTACTGCCTCTCAGTTTTACTCCTTTGCTGGACAACCAGCTAACATAAATGTGCCATCATCGTGCATTTATGTCCACACTCATAAAGATGGAGTGAGAAGTGAAGCCACAGCAGAAGTGACTTAAACCAGAATTATTTTTAATAGGCACAGGATAAGGGAGCAATATCCTGCAGAAACGCTCAATTTAACAGAGTCAATTTTGGATCGACTGAATTGTAATTATCAGTTTTTTTGCGAATGAACTGATGAAGAAAGCAACAGCATTCAGCTCAATGATTTCACCCATGTAGATCCATCTTTTATAACGTCTATGCTCATAATACCATTGCATCCCCCCACCCAAAATCAGAATAATGTGAAAAAGTTTTAGCTCATCCGGCATGAAGGACCAATGAGTTAATACAACAGGAAGATGTCTGTTGCTCCATGACAACAATCCTCCCAGAGGGAAAGATTCATTGAACTTTGCACACAATAACCAACTAATGTTTCTTCACCCATAATTTATTTTTTAAACTGTAAGCTGCCTGAAGTCAAAGGACGAATAGAAGAGGAAGATGTGTTCGGAGACGGGAATTTGGCACGGAGGACATGCTGACACGTGGTGTGAAGGCAGATGATCCACTGCAGTGACCTTAAACCTTTGCTGACAACTACCTCTGCCCAAAATTCAAGGTGTCCCTAAATATTGCATTCATGAGATGATCATGAAGAACAAAAAAAAAAAAAAAGCCGTTTTCTGAAACAGATTTATAAAATTATCTTTAATTATAATTATCAGTGAGCAACAGGTTGAAATGTCAGTGGGGATGAGGGATTACCCTTAAATTCTTTTAATAAGTACTGGGAAACATATCAGTTAATAAATATAACAATATACATAACATAGGCCAATTACAATAACCAACGGGTGCCCTATATCACCCCTTGCTTTGTGCCACAGCCAAACTACCACACAACCCCTGTAACCTTCAGGACAGCACTAGCACAGTAAATGAGATAGTATAACGTAAGACAGTCAAAGAAACCTTTATAAAGACTATACTTAAAAAAAAAACAAAAATATGCTCAAAATTTTGGTGTCACAACTGTGTTTTAGGTTTCTTCAGCAGCACCTTAATACACTTACTTGCATTAGACAAACCTGAGGTGGAAAAAGACTCCATGAGGCTACACTTAAAACAAAATAAACCAATTTTGAACTGAATTTAAAGAAACTCAACCCGCGCTTACGATGACCCCATTTACTCCTCCAATGTGCCCGTTTTCAAGTCCGTTAACAGTTATTTTTTCTTGTGGGTATAAAAACACTCCTTCCCTGTAACTGTACTTATCTGAACATACAACATTTTTATTACTGTCTGAATCCAGTATTAGAGAACAAAATCTTTGACAAACAGCACACTGAACAGTTATTTTTGTTTACATGAACAAAGCTGAGGCTTCTCAAAACCGAAGTTTAGCTGAGAAGTAACTAACTTGCGGCTGAAGGCCTTCAATATTACAAACATTTCCGAAAAGCTGGCATCAGTGTTTCAGAGGCACTTTAAGGTTTTATCATGTTAAACAGAGCTAGCAATATTACTGGTCCTCGTCTTCACTTCTCTGCGTATTTCTCTGGCCCCGGTCTGGATCTTTGAGGCGGAGGATGCGGATGATTTTGCTTTCTGGAAGGGAACTTAACATAAAATAAAAATAAATAAAAAATTATGATGTGAATACTGAAACCAAGCAGCGCATTGAAGTCACACGACCTTTACCCTACAGTGGCTTAGTCTACAACGACCAAGTCAATAAATCACATCTGGGTGGTCTAGCTGCTGTAGCACACAAATGCTGTATATAAACACACAGAGGTTGTGTCAGTGGTTACCTCATGTTCTGTGGGGTTAAGAAAATGAACTGTCTGTAGCGCTGACTGGCAGCCACCTTCAGCATCATGTCCATGGATATCCTTCTGTTCACCATGTCCTATTTAAAGAGAACACCCAAAGCCAATGTTATCTTTAAATGGGGCCAAACCCAGTGGGACAGTTTTGCAACTGTAACGAAGTGTTGCATATTCTCTGTCTCCTTATCGTTTGTTGTTTTTACTGATGATTATCTCAGTTTGCAATATGCATGCACCCGCAATCTAAACATAAATATAATGCGAACGAAAACTATTGTATTACCATGTAAACATCAAACTCATCAAGACAGCGGAAAGGCGCCTCTGTGATCGCCCAAAGAGAGAGGACAAAACAAACAGTGGAGAAAGAGCGCTCCCCTCCGGACAGCAAGCGCATGTCACTCAAGTCAGCCTTGTTTCCTTGGCCTGGCTGCACCTACAAAGTTATCATAAGAATAATGAGTCTCTGTTTAAATAATAATAATCAAAAACCTTTAGGCACTTTAATATAAATCTGAGGCTGTAGTGGCCTCTTACTGATGAATGAAAAAAAGGCTTACGGAAATGGAGAGGGTTTCGTTCTTGTGATCAAAGATCATACTTCCACTGTAGCCTCTCTGGGCTAACATGCTATCAAAGTAGTATTTACAGCGGGCTGACAGGAACCTATGATACCAAGAGAGAGAGAGAGAAAAGTAATCATATAACCGCAATCTTAAAAATATAAATATAAAAAATAGAACTTTATGTATAGACTTCAGAGGGACCTGTAGGAGTATTTAACAAATTGTTGTCAAATATGGTACTAAAGCTACTAGAACTACAAGTCCAGGTTTTGAAGAATTAAAAATTAAATTTGATCGATCCAAATAAACATGCAGTGTCTGTGATTAAGCTAGGAGAGAAGATGAAACCTGAAAGTAACTAATGCTCGTGACTAGCTAAACCTGTGTGTGAAGCAGCGCACCCTTTTGGGGAAAGTTTGTGATATGTGTGATGAGTTCTTATCTGCCAATGAACAACGATGTCATGGTCACAGTCAATAGCGATAGCTCGCCAATCAAGGCGACTTTTTTGATGCATTAAAATTAATGTTGTCCATTAGTGCGGGATTCATCCATTTCTTTTCTTCCACTCATCCAAATCCAAGTGTTTGTGTGGAGCAACTATACTGACCCATCATCAAATGATAGGAAACAGCAAGATGTTTGTGACTGTTGAACTGATATTTAAATCTGTGCTTATTAGTGAAAAACTTACATGGTGGGCATGAGACGGGTGAGATATTTTACACAGAAAAAGACCCCAAAAACCTCTAGGCTGTTGTTTTGTTTTAATATCTTGTTCTATCATTTTGTAGTGCAGGGGCTAACTGGAGGGTCATTAGCATGAGCTCCTTTTAAGTACACATATGTGGGCAATGCTTTGAATTTGATTTCAAAGATTCAGTGTTTTATGTTTATATATTCATGTAATTTAAAGTGAGGTTTAAAAAAGCATCAGGCCAAAATACCTTCATTTGAACAGATTTGCACATGTGCTGTCTGGACTGTTAAGCTAACATTTGTTTTAAAAATCTGACTAGTCACTCGGTCTATAACTAGACAAAAAAAGTTCCGATTCAGAAGCCACAGTCTTAATAATTTAATAATTATTACCTGGATTACAGATGTAACTATTTACTCTCTTTTACTTTATTGCACAGGTAAGTACATCACTGCAAAATACAAACAGCAAACTATGAATTCACCACTTACCTCCTGAGCTCGGCATAAGCCTGAAGTCTGTGGTTCATAACACTGTCGAGGCTTTTGATGAAGCTGTTGAGGTTCTTCATTTGCTGTGTCATGTTCTTGTAGCTCTCCAGAGCCTCGTGGTACTGCCTGTAAGTGGAAAAGGAAATCAATTCACATTTGGCGTCAAGGAAGGACATCAGTTTAAAATGCGTGTACATTCAACACCTCACAGAAACATCACTGAAATCATGTCAGTAATACACCGTGAGGATCCAATACCTCACAATCTCCTCACGGTCTCCCTGTTGTT